GAGAGAGAGAGAGAGAGAGAGAGAGAGAGAGAGAGAGAGAGAGAGAGAGAGAGACTATTTGCGTGTCTGATTACATATGTCCTCCGGGGCGAAGCCCGGAGCGAAGCCCGGTAACCAGCTAGTAATATATAAATTATAATAATATATATATTAAACCACACGCACACTTACACACACATACATACATAGTTGTTAGAAATTATATTATGTAATTATATTAAATATATATTATAAATTTGGTAATAATTGTATATATTAAAAATATTAATTATGTAATTGAATGTATACGACAAAATAAAATTCTATACACTATAAAAAATATTTGATAAATATTTGCTTTTGGGAACCTTAACAAATATAATGGTTTATATTTTTACAAAAATCATTAGTAAATGTTAATAATTTTACAAAATTTTTAATTTTAAATTTCCGGATTTAAAATTATCCATAATTTTTATGGCAATATATTTTGATTTATTAACCCGTTGAGGTCACACCTCCTAAAAGTAACATAGAGGTACCATGGGGTCCAATGGACCCCACAACAGTTTCCATTTGCGTTCTTTTTGATGTATCGACTCAAACCTTGAACTGGAATTAATTTATGACTTCCTCTTGATAATCCAATAATTTAAAAAAAAATTTTATGTTAAAAAAACGCGAGGAAAAAATTTTTTTTCGAAAAATTTGACTTTTTTCACAAAAATATTTATCAAAATTTTTTGAGATAGAGCAAAAAAACTTTGTGCGTTTTACTCTCAAAATAGTATACTTTTAAGAAAAAAAAGAAAAAAAGGAAAAAAAAAGCCTGGGGTCTACTGGACCCCATCTCAACGGGTTAAATAAAAGTGCAAAAATTTGATGCTAAGCCAATGATTAGATAAATATTAAACTTTTATTCGCTGACATTTATCTTAAATATTATAAAATTATAAGGAAAATTTATTATATTTTTATGAAATTTTAGATTTTACGTTATCGCTAGTAAAAATCAGAATTCGCGAAATGCCATATTTTATTTCGCACTAGATTAAATATAGATATATTCTCAAAGAATTCCGTGTAATATTAAATATTTTAAATGAATTTTTTAATTATATTTTATTAATACAATATTAAATATTACTTAACAGTTAATGCAAATACCACATTTATTCATGTTCTTGATATGATTGTTATTTGGCGATAGGGTCTTGTCGCCGTTCTTCGCATGAAGTAGATGATAGCAGGTGATTTGTACCGATAAAGAATTGAAATGATTTTTATTGTGGATGATTATTTCGCTTTGAACAGAACCCATCCGCTTAATTCGATGGCCTGTTGAAAGCTAGGAGGGTTTCCGTTGTAGAGCCAGAATTAAATGAATTTTTTTGGCAATGTCCGGAAGCAGTGGTTTTGGCAGTACCTATTATATTATCTTACTTAATTAATTATTTATCTATATTTGATCAAGTATTGCAGAAAAATGGAAAATAACATAAATTTTATGTCACTATTCTGCTATAAAATTGGTTAAAATAAAATCTTATTTTTATCGGGGTGACTCGTCTTGAACAGTCGGTACACGAGACTTTTTTACTCGCACATACAATAAACTACAACAAAAGCGCATGCATTTTATTATTACTAAATATAATCATTCGTAACTTTTTGATAGGAACTTATCATTTTTTGTACTAAAATATAGTTGTCTTTGTATTATAATTAATGGGAGACTATATTTTTTCGCGTGCGAATTTTTATTTCGTGTACTAACTAAAGAATTAGGATAAATTAGATTATATATTAAAACATTCTAGAATTGCATAATATTGTAATACGCAGTTAAAGAATAATACTTAGTCGTTAAGTGGTTAACTGGTTGTCAGAATAATCGCTATCGGAAGCAGTCCGGAAGATTCGGGATTTGTTCTCTTCTATAACGAGGTCTTTAGTGTTTAATGGGTCGCTTAATTTTTTTTTCGCGAATTGATTTCGTAGAAACGACAGAAGCAGAGCACATTGAACTCACTCTCCACTTTGAGGATCATTCTTTTCTGTATCGGATACTAATGTGTCACTCGATGGACTTTGATCTGGTCAAATCGTTGGACCAGTTATATTTTATTGAACGTGGCAATAATAGGTACCCTCTTTTCTCACGATTTTTGAGGCTCAAATAAATCCTATCTCGATTAAACATAAAAAGAGAATTAGACTTTATATGTGTAATCAATTATATTATTAATATATTATAAAATCGTGCACAGATACGATTGTACAAGACACTTCATTTTCTGTCAAACAATATTGTCAAACAATATATGTTATTTTCCATTTTTCTGCAATATTTATAGAAAAATAATAGTTATAACTGGAACTTACGTTGCAATGTGAATGCATTATAAAAATTACATGTTTCGCAATTGAATCGGACCACGAGTATAAACCGATTTATTCGTCGCGTGTTTTTCTATTTAATCATTAGCTTATAACGAAACTCCCCGGAAAATTCTACCCCTATTTCATATAGTTTTGGTAAAAATTCGGTTCAGGGGTTTGGGCTGGGCGTTGATGAGTGAGTGAGTGAGTGCGTCAGTCAGGACATCTTCCTTTATATATATAGATTGATAAAATTAACAATTTTCTTGGTCGCGGCTATCCGCGTTATCTAAGGCAAAGTATAAACTTTATAATTATTACTTAATAAAATTATAAAAAAAAAACGTATGTTATATAATAATCATGTGTCGATACATTGCATCGGTTGCAGCCGTATGTCTTACATCATGAGAATTTTATGTTATTGTATGCATTCGAATGTCTCGTATATAAATCCGCGTTAAAAAGAAATCTTATATGTTTAATCTCTAAACAATTTACATTGTACCTTTTATTTTGTAATTCTGTATTGCGCTCTATATTATGCATTATATTTTGTATATTCTATGTATATATTCTTTTTTATATAATGTAATTCTTTTATGATAATATAATCTAAAATGAATTATATGAAAAGTAATATAGAAGAATTAAGAGAAAATGCCTCTAAAAGGAGAAGACCAGTGATCAGAATCTTTAAAGAATGACGTCTAATGACGTCTAGAGACGTCTTTGGACGTCAATTAGACGTCACCTTGCTACCTGGGTAATAATTCACAAGTATAGGGTAAACTCGGGCAAGATGGCTATAGAATAATACATATGGACAAATTTCGGGCCATTTTTTTTGGAAAATCAGCGTATCAATTCCGGTTGCAATGCTACAATCAATACGTATCTGTAACAATTAATGATTGACATATTACATTGCGAGAATTTATGATTATATTATACTGCATTTGTGTGCTCGCATACACACACACACACACACACAAATTTTATATGAATGAAATTACCATGCAGTGAAGTAGCAATGGAAGTTTTTAAAACGGGATATTCATTATAATATTCAGCAATCGAAGTCCCTTTCCTTCTTACGTTAATGTGTCGATGTCATTTCATGTTTAAAAACATGGACTATTTCTTCAGCCCATTTCTGAAAATCTGCTGAACTTATTCTACATTGAAATAGAAATAATTAGATAAAATATACAATTACAATTTTACATATACAATTTTATAAGATAGCATACATACTTTAAAGATTTGCAAAGAAGTTTGTCTATAATTAAATGGCTTATTTTATTACGGTCTGATGCAGTCAATCGTGTTTGCCTTAATATTTTTTTACCACAACTGGATTCGGAAAGCAATTCTTTTAAAGTCTAGACAAAAATATTAAATATTAAGAACATAAAAATATTAAAATTAAAAAATATTAAAATATTAAAATTAAAATTTTAGATTTTAGGATTAATATTTTCCTATTTTTATTTTTACTTGCCTATTTAAAAAACGCAATAAAATTTCAAAAATATAATACAGAATATAAAGTTTGTATAAAAATACATACTTTTCCACGATTGCTCACACTTGTGCACAATTCCTTAGAAGAACAACTATCTATACGACAGTTTCTTCGATGTCACTTGTGACTTAATTCTGATTGTGACTCCGTTGTATTCAAATCTGTTAAAATATCCTGCAACAATGATATTCATAAATTAACTGATAAGTTAATTAGCTTAATTGATAGTTAATTATTTAATTATAAGTTAATAATTTTTGCGCATATTATAGATCAGCAAATAAGAATTATCAAATTTAGTAGAAATATCAATTCTAGAAACTTGATGATTTTTATTTGCTAATCTATATTTGCAAAAATTATTAATTCCAATAGAAATAGGCTGCAGAAAATATAAATTTCTTATTTGATTTAAGGGTTAAGGTGATGTGCTGGAGCCGTCTGTATAACCGACAAAATTACCATTTTCTATGTTATCGACCTATATCTGTTCTTGTATAGACAAGGATATAGACAAGGATAGCACCTAACCTTGCATCTTCCATTGAGCTAAGTAATATCTTTTTTTTTTGTCTTCAAATCTTACTTCTAATTGCACGATATTATTCCTGACAGTTTTTTGTAGAGGGTTGTATCACTATTTTCTATAGAAAAACTGCAGAATTTTTGTATAAAGCAAATATTGTCGTCAGGTGAAGAGGTGAAGACAATATTTATAAAAATAAAATTTTTTTTAGTTTATCAGAAAAAATCATGTACAGCCCTTTACATTTTTGTGCGTACTTTAATCGTGTAAAAGGATTTTCCATTCTGTTCAGCCAATTCAAAGATATTGCTTAGACCGATTATGCAGTGTCGCTGTCACTCCAAGATCCCCTTAATTAAAATACTGTTGAATGACACGTTCTCGTATTTCGTTACCGTTTACATTTCTTATATCGTTTAATCCCATATTTCTTTCCTCTATGTTCAATTCGTCGTAATATATCTCAGACTGCGGTATGTTATAAAATTTGGCTATGTTTTGAACAACGCAGCAAGCATTAACAATGAGAGCTGAAAGTGTTTATAACACCATAAAATTAATATAACTATTGGTATTACATTAGTATTTACAAGATGCAATTGGTATATGAATCTTACCTGAAAATTCTGATGAATAATGCTGTTTCGTACAAGCTCGCGCAGGAGCCTATAGCTTTAGATTTAATGAGTAGATGAAACGACACATATACTTTGCTTTTCGAGGGAGAGATCATATATTTTACTTGGCAGAAATAATTACAGAATACCAACATTTGTTGCATGGATAAGGAAAACTGCCAAAAACCTTATCAGTATTCGTACAACACATAAAAAATGATGATACAAAGAAATAAATTGCTAGGAATATAATACATAATATTTCTCAGACGAATGATCCTTTTGTCAATTTGCATAAACTAATACGCTTCCCAATATTTAAGGAAATACAATAACTCTTGAATGTTGATTTTTCTAAAGAAGTAATATTCTCTTAATCTTTCTCTGGACTGTATGTAACTTCAACTATTGTTTGTAAGACTATAACTTACATCGTAATTAGACCATTCGTATGAAATAGATAATACATGAAATAAAGTAAATTGTTACACAAGATAAATAAGCATAAATACATAGCAATAAAGAATATGTGATGGATAGATTGATACGTCGTATTAACTTTTGTAATGTAATTTCCTTGTAGTTCGAATGACCAATATCTTTGGAAGTAGCTCATAAAATCAGAAGACAATAGAGAATGTGCAATAAGTTATACACCATATTATATGTCACTGTTTCGTATGTATCCCAATATCTAAGGTAAGACGTATCAATCTATAATTACTTCTTATTGGTAATCGTCGCTGCATTGCATCGGTCAAAATGAATACATTATAATATACGTAAACGTGCAAAGGAATATAATTATATACTCGAAACAATCTATGACGCAAAGAATCGAACTACTTGTAACACAAGTGAGGAATAAAGTAACGTGAGTAATTTTATATAAACAGAAAGTGTTTCTCGGTTGAAATGATAATAATTCTTTATGGAATCGAATTAATCAGCGTTTTAATCGAAGAGAAATAATCATATATGTATCGGTTGCAACTATAAACAAATCGATCTAATTATTTTACTGAGCTCAGATTCTAATCTGTAGTGACGCACTCACTGGTCTCGTCTACAAGAACGTCAAGACTCCTCTCCAAGCTCGGCCTCAGTGAATCTAACTATTCGGGACGGATAATACGCAACTCACCGCGTTCTACACAAATCACACACGTCCATCTATTCGTACACTTCCAAGAAATAATTTACCTGTACATAGAGCATGAATAAACCTAGCGAGATTCTACCTAATTGAATGACTGGTTTTTGTGGGAACCGACGCACCTTAACCTAATCCTAACCAACTACCCCTCATTATATATAGCCAATATTGAATATTATTAATTAGCCAATGCATCGACTTTTTTTCAATATATTGGCAAAAATTAATTTTTATCATAGTACTTTAATGTCTCTATCAATATTAATAGAGACATTGATAAATCATGACAAAAAAATAATTTTTGCCAATATTGATTAAAAAAGTAGTTAATGCATTAATTTATAAATTAGAGTTCATTATTGGCTAAAAATAAATGTAGAACCTGCTGTTATTTAATTTTAAACAATTTAAAACAAAAAATAAACATACAAATAATATTAATTTATGATAACTTTCTAGTTTTATTCAGCGCTTGTTTTCTGCATAAAGTTTTAAACATGTTCATATAAAAAAATAATATATCATATAAAAGAATAATATTAATAATGTAAGAAATACCTTATACTTACATGTAATGTAAGTTATATATAGTTATTTGTGTAACAAGTGAGGTAAGATGAAAATTCCCGGGTGTGGAGTTTACGCACGAGCCGAAGGCGAGTGCGGTAACCGCACCCGGGAATTTTTATCTTTACACACGGCTTACACTCCCTATTTTATGTTGCAAGTGCCTGGAAAGTGGTCTATCACGCACGCGTAGCGTGCGTAATGGGTCACTTTCCATGCACGTTGTTGTGCCCGAAGCCGTGAAGGAGGGACTTTGTCGGGATGTAGGCG